CCCCCCTGCCCCTCACAAGCCTTGCCCTGGGGGGTTCAACCTCCCTCCCCTGCCTTGCTCTCCCCTCACTCAGGAGGACTCACCCTCCCTCCACCCCACCACCACCACCAACACCACCACCACCACTCTCCACCACTTCCCACCACTCTCCACCACTTCCCACCACTCTCCAGCACTCTCCACCACCACTCTCCACCGATCTCTCCAGCAGCAGAGGGGGTGAGAGGAACCTTGAGGGGTGGAGCCTCAGCGACGTGGCAAGAGGGGAGCCACACCACACCCCCGGCCGCAGGGTGTGGTGATCGTCCTTTATGCCTTGAACGTGCGGCTATTGGCACCCAGTCCCAAGGCCCCCCCACCCCACTCTGCCCACCCCCACCACCACCACCACCACCACGACTTACCACACTTACCACAACTTACCAACGCTCCCCCCGTCCACAGCAAATGAACCTGCTCGGGAGAGAGGGGAGGGTGCAGAGAGGCTATTAGTGGATGACGAGTGGAGAGTGATGCAAGGGGGCCAGAGAATTGCAAAATGGAATAACAAAGATACAAGCAGACAGAAGTGCTGGAAAAACAGAAGTGCTGGAAAAACAGAAGTGCTGGAAAAACAGAAGTGCTGGAAAAAACAAGTACAGAGCAGCAGGAGTGCAGCAGGCAGCAGGATGAGGGAGTTGCTGCAGTGAGTAGAGCAGCAGATGGGCGCCGTGATGCCTGCGTGCTTGTGCCCCACATGCACCAGCTTAGCTCCTCCCCACATGCCTCCGCTCCCCCTTCTGCTGCTCCTGTCGCGTTGGGATGGGTGGGAGGAGGGGGAGAAGGGGGGCCCAAGGGAGTCGATTTTTGAGTCGACTCAAAAATCGACTCATCACACGCTGGGAGGGGGGAAGGGGGGCCCGAGGGAGATAAGGGGGAGGGGAGGACCTGAGAGAGGGCGAGCAGGGAGCATGCAAGGGTAAAGAGGCAGAAAGCATGCAGAACAAGCAAGGGAAAAGGCAGTTGAAGGCAGAGGGAGTGTGGGTGGTGGAGAGATACTCACCATTGATAACGCTGGCCGCGTGTGTGCTGGTTGTGTGGTGCAGTCTGGAGAGGCCCCCACGTCCCTTGAGACGCGGCAGCCTTGAGAAGATGATGCCTCAGCGCCAAGCAGCGCACTGCACGGTCAGGGAGGGGCGGTGTGGGCGAGGGGAGGAGGAGAGCGGGAGGGGGGTGGGCATTAATGCAAAGGGCAAGGGAGAGAAGTGAAGGGTTGTCCAAGGGGAGACGAGTGCAGATGAAATGACGACATACATGCGGGGAGGGAGCAGCTGCAGCAGCACACACAAGAGCAGACGGGGGGGACCTTCACCTTACCTTACCAGGGGAAACAAGTTTTGTACCTACCGAGAAGGGTACCTGACAGTCTGAACCTTGAAAAGGAAAGAAGGGCTTGGGTGTTCTACAGGCAGCTAGAGCGGGGAGGAAGTGGAATGGGAAGTGAGCAAAACGACAAGCAAGAAGGCGAGTAAATAGGAGGGAGAATGGCTGGAGAAGCGATACTCATCTGTGGTCGTGCTCAGTCGGTGCTGGCTGTGTGCTGGGGAGCTCAAGACGCCCCTCACCCGGCTGCCTCTGACTTTTGAGTCGACTCAAAAGGGAGCTCAAGACGCCCCTCACCCGGCTGCCTCTGACTTTTGAGTCGACTCAAAAGGGAGCTCAAGACGCCCCTCACCCGGCTGCCTCTGACTTTTGAGTCGACTCAAAAGGGAGCTCAAGACGCCCCTCACCCGGCTGCCTCTGACTTTTGAGTCGACTCAAAAGGGAGCTCAAGACGCCCCTCACCCGGCTGCCTCTGACTTTTGAGTCGACTCAAAAGGGAGCTCAAGACGCCCCTCACCCGGCTGCCTCTGACTTTTGAGTCGACTCAAAAGGGAGCTCAAGACGCCCCTCACCTGGCTGCCTCTGACTTTTGAGTCGACTCAAAAGGGAGCTCAAGACGCCCCTCACCCGGCTGCCTCTGCTGCTGCCTCTGCTGCTGCCTCTGCCACCCACGTCCGTTGAGGTGCGTCCGCCAATCAGGGCCCTGGATGGGACCATGAGATGAGGGGCGATGTGGGACAGGGGATGAGATGGACGGGAGGAGAAAGTGGGTATTAGAACGAAAGGCAAGGGAGAGAAGTGCAGTGTTGTCCAAAGGGGAGGCGAGAGCAGAGATGGAATGTGGGAAGAAGTCAGCTGCTGTAACACACCCAAGCGTGGAAGGAGGGGACCTTGGCCTGACCTTACCATGCCAGGGGAAACAAGTTCTCTACCTAACAGGGGGGGTACCTGAGAGTCTGAACCTTGAAAGAAAAAGGGGGGCGTGGGTGTACTACAGGTGGCTGGGCGGGGAGGCAGTGGAATGAGTGAAGCGGGCAAAGTGACAAGCGGGAAAACGAGGAAAACGGAGGAGGGAGAGTGGCTGGCGAAGGGACACTCATCTCTTGGTGAGTAATGCGCAGATGAGCAGCTGATAGCCACACGCGAGCACGGGATGGAAGCATAGCTTCTGTAGCACACCCAAGGGGAGGGGAGGGGGAGACCTTTACCTCACCTCAGCATACCAAGGAGAGAAGGTTTGCACCTACCAGAGGGAACACCTGAGATTGTAGACCTTAAAACAAAGGGGGGGGGGGGGGGTCGTGTGTGCTACAGGCAGCTGGAGTGGCGAGGCAGTGATGTGGGAAGCATACGAAATGGCAAGGCGGAAAAGCGAGTAATGGAGGAAGGAGAGTGGCTGGTAGGGCGATACTCATCTCTTGGCCAATGTGCTGTTGTGTGCCGGGGGGAGCAAGACGACCCGCCGCTGCCTCTGCTGCTGCGTCCGCTCCACCTCCCCAGCAGCTCTCCTTGATGCGCCTCACAGCCCACTGAGAGGGATCAGGGTGGGAGGGGGGAGGAGGGAAGGGTGTGCGTGGAGTGGAGGGTGGGGAAGGGGGGGTTTAGAACCAAGTGCAAGCGAGAAGAGTGGAGATAATGAGCTGCTAGTCAAACGCGAGCAGGGGAGGGAACCAGAGCTTCTGTAACACACCCAAGGAAAAGGGAATGGGGGACCTTTACCTTGGTGTACCAAGGGTAGAAATTTTGCACCTACCTGCCAAGGGGGAAACCTGAGAGTCTGAACCTTGAACACGAAAAGGGAGGCTCGGGTGTGCTACAGGCAGCTAGAGTGACGAGGCAGTGAAACATGAATGGCACACGAAATGGCAAGCGAAAAACCGAGTAAAGGAGGCGGGAGAGTGGCTGCTAGGTTGATACTCATCTCTTGGTCGATGTGTTGTTGTGTGCTGCGTGGAGCAAGATGACCCGCTGCTGCCTCTGCTGCTGCACTCTCCTGCTGCGACCGTACGCGTCCCCATAGCTGCTTCCGTTGATGCGCCTCACAGGCCACTAAGACGGTCCAGCGTGGGAGAGGGAAGGAGGACGGGGTGTGTGTGGAGGGTGGAGAAGGGGTGTGTTAGAACCAAGTGCAGGGGAGAGGATTGCAGAGGATCAGTGGCTAGCCACACACGAGACGGGGATGGATGGAAGCATAGCTTCCGTAGCACACCCAAGGGGACAAGAGGGGGGACCTTTACCTCACCTCAGCGTACCAAGGAGAGAAGTTTTGCACCTACCAGAGGGAATACCTGAGAGCCTATACCTTGAAAACAAAGGGGGGGGGGTCGTGTGTGCTACAGGCAGCTAGAGGGACGAGGCAGTGAAACGGGAAGCATACGAAATGGCAAGGCGGAAAAGCGAGTAATGGAGGAAGGAGAGTGGCTGGTAGGGCGATACTCATCTCTTGGTCGATGTGCTGTTGTGTGCTGGGGGGAGCAAGACGACCCGCTGCTGCCTCTGCTGCTGCACTCTCCTGCTGCAACCGTACGCGTCCCCATAGCAGCTTCCATTGATGCGCCTCACAGCCCACTGAGAGGGATCAGGGTGCGAGAGGGAAGGAGGACGGGGTGTGTGTGGAGGGTGGGGAAGAAAGAGGGGTATTAGAACCATGTGCAGGGGAAAGGATTGCAGAAGATCAGCTGCTAGCCACACGCGAGCAGGGGAGGGAAGCATAGCTTCATAGCACACCCAAGGGGAGGGGAGTGGGGGACCTTTACCTTACCGTACCAAGGGTTAAAAGTTTTGAATCTACATACCAAGGGGGATACCTGAGAGTCTGAACCTTGAACACGGAAAAGGGGGGGGCTTGGGTGTGCTACAGGCAGCTACAGCGACAAGAAACATGAACGCGAAACGGCAAAGCATGTGAAACGACAAGCGGCAAAAGGGTTAGGCAGAGGCAGAGGCAGAGGGATACTCATCTGGCAGGAGGAAGCAGCAGCGACTTGGCTGGAGGCAGCAGCGCGTTGACTCCAGGCAGCAGCGCGTTGACTCCAGGCAGCAGCGCGTTGACTCCAGGTAGCAGCGCGTTGACTCCAGGCAGCAGCGCGTTGACTCCAGGCAGCAGCGCATTGACTCCAGGCAGCACAGAACTGGGGGAGGAAGGGTGAATGAAGAGTCAGAAACTTTGAGAAGGGACCAATCAAGATTGAGAAAGCGGCAACAAGAAGTGAGCAATAGAAAGCCAAAGCAGAGATGCACGGAGAGGAGAATGGCTGCTGTAGCACACCCAAATGAAGTGAGGGATTGGGGGATTTTTACCTTACCATACCAAGGGAAAAGGTACCAAAGGGGACGGGAATACTGGATAGTCTAAACCTTGAAAAGAAAAGGGGGGGACTTGGGTGTGCTACGGACAGCAAGAGAGAAAAGCAACGCAAATGCGAATCGACATAGCGAATTTGAGGCACGGGAAATGAAAACCAGCAAAACGGTCAAAGGCAGAAAGGTACTCATCTCCCTGGTGACAGCAGCAGGACGAGCGTTGACTCGAAGTAACAGAACGTTGACTCCAGGCGGCCGGGAGTTGACTCGAGGCAGCAGGGCGTTGACTGAAGGGCAGCAGCAGGTCGTTGACTCAAGTAGCAGCAGAAGAGTTGACTCTCGAGGCAGCAGGAACCTGGAGGAAAGGGAGAAGGGGGGGGAGGGAGTGAGAGGCCATGAGAACAATCAAGGAATAAAAAGCAGCAACCGGAAGAGGCTATTTCAAGGCTGGAACAGAGGTGTACGGGATGGGATGGAAGCACGGCTGCTGTAGCACACCCAAGAGGCGGGGGGAGGGACCTTTACCTTACCAAGGGGATACCAGACTGAACCTACAAAGGGGGATACCAGACTAAACCTGAACAAAAAAGGAGGGACTTGGGTGTGCTACGGGCAGCTGGAGCGACGAGAATGCGCATGCGAAATGCGAATTGACAGGCAGCAAAGACTCGGAGGCGGATGGATACTCATCTCCCTGGTCGCAGACGGAGGCGGAGTGTTGACTCGAAGCAAAAGCGCGTTGACCCGAAGACCAGCGCGTTGACTCGAAGACCAGCGCATTGACCCGAAGACCAGCGCGTTGACTCAAAGGCGTTGACTCGAGTAGCACGAACTGGCGAAGGGGAGAAGGAAATACGAAAGGGAGAAAATGAGTCACAAAAGGGGAGCCATGGAGAACAGACGGGCGAAGTGAAGCAGCAAAGCGAAGAAGCGGACGCGCATGCACGGAAAGCGGCTGGAGTGAAGGCGCAGAGTGAAGCCCTCGCGACGCAAAGGCTGCTGTAGCACACCCAGAGGGGGGAAACCTTAGTCTGAACCGTACCTACCAAGGCCGAACCTGTACCGAGGCTGGGCTGTTACATACCTGCAATGGGGGCATACCTGCACCAGTTACACCTATACCTGGCACCTGAAACGAGGGGAGACCCTTGGGTGTGCTACAGAGCATGCGAGCAACGAGGGTGCGAGCGAGACCAAGGCGAGACCTGGTGAGACTCATTAACCGGTGATACTTATCATCTTAGTTCGAAGCAGCAGTAGCGCCAGCGTTGACTCGAGACAGCACGACGTTGTCCAGGCCAAGCGTTGACTCGCTGCAGCGAAGCGTTGACCCGCTGGAGCGTGTTGACGCGCGTTGACTGCAGTCGCAGATCTTGGCATAATCGCTCAAAGCGGACCTATCGTGTTCGTCGTCTCACGCGCGATCTGGACGAAACGAAACGGCAGGGCGAACGAAACGGCATCAGTAAGCATCCTTGGGGAAAAATAATAAAGGACACGGAAAACGACCGCGGCTTACCGTTTCTGTAGTTACTGGATTCACAGAACTTGGATCGATGGTCGCAGTCGCAATTCGTTGTCTTGCGACGTTCGTCGCAGAACTTGAAACGATGCAGGTCGAAGTTGTTCGTCGTGTCATTCGTGGAGCTGCAGGGATTAAAACAAATCTGGAAGGATAACATTCGATTATAATCCAGAAACGAAAATGGCAACGATGGTTGATACTTACGCTTAGTTGCTGAAAAAAAACAGCGTAATGCGGCATTTCGCTGCGTCGGAGTGGGCCACAACGAGACTCCACGCGTTCAGATAATAATGCTCCAAGGTGTTCCAGGTTGCTCCAGGTAGCTCTACCAACGGACCGGACGGATTGACGGCTGAACGGGAAAATTTGGAGAGCGGTGTTCAAATGAGGGCGATTTGGCGAATATGAGGATGCCAAAATGAAGAAAATCGGTTGGGAAATGGGAAACTGACGGGTGAAGGGAGGAGGCACGGATGGAAGCTGACTGGGAAGAGAGTGGGGTAAGAACCGAGTCGCGAAACGGACTAAGGATCGATCCGCAACGGAAAGTCGAAAAAAAGAAGGATTCTGGCGGTAAGGCGAGCCAGAACCGTTGTGATGATAAATCGGCAAAAAAAAGGATAGAAACACCATCTGATTCGCTGGAAGCGGGGACCACCAGCGGCCGAAGCGCAAGATGCGAAAATGCGACTCTTGAAGCCCGCTAATCCGCCGCTGAAGAGATCAGATTGGCCTACACGCACTGGCATGGCGGGGAACGGCAGTCTCAGGGAAGCACCAAACCCTAGCTTGAGCCTGGAAGCGAGAAACGAGTTCAACCCCCAGCAGGTGCTGTCAGAAGAATTGGGCCGCTTCAGGCAACCCTGGGTTGGGTTGGGGAGGCTGCTTTCCCAAGGGGTTTCTCCTGCAAGAAGTTTTGTTTCGAGTCTAGTTTCGCATTAGATACTAGAGGAAGTACTCAAACTAGAGGATATATCGTGCAATTAATTTCGAGTTTTTATCCACAATTCGTGGACACGCGCAACCAGGCTCTCAGATTGGTCTTAGGGTTGTCTGAAAAAACAGAGTTGGTATCTTTGACAATCATACAAGAAAAAAACAGATTTAGAAGAATGCGCCTTCTTTTTTCAGATAAAATGTCTGATTTGTCAGACTTTGTACCCAACAAAAAAATATGAAAATCATATAAATCAGACTATAGTCTGAATTCTGAAGCCTGTGCAGCCAGTGTCAGCATTACTCATATACAGACTGAAAGCCTAAGCACATGAGCCTTCATACTACTCCATTTGAAGCAAGAACATTCACTCAACCTGAAAACCCAGCTGCTACGGTACTTCTACAGCTAGCTATCTCTTTTGAATCTTGAAACTCATTCAGCAGCACCATCGCCCACGCGTCGATGACTGTGCATGCTGGCAGTCAGGCTGGCAAAGAAGTCATTGATCCGCGCAGGGCCCGGCCGGCTGCTTCCGCCGCTGTTGCCACTGGGCTTCGGCTCTGGCTCTCCCACCACTGCCTGCCACCGCTTGCTGGAATACACACTGTCATGCTGACTTGAACCTAAACTTGGCTGCTGAATTGGCTGCTGCTGGCTTGGCTGCTGGCTTGGCTGCTGGCTAGTGGCCTGCTGTTCATCCTGGTTGGGGTGTGTGACATTTAGCGGGACTTGTGTCTTGGGAAGGGGATCGAAGAAGTGCTGCCAAAACGGTGGTGACGACTGCTCTGATGATGCTGGCGCTGGCTCTGCTGTGTCTACTGCTTGTGGTGCTGCTGCTCGTGGTGCTGCTGCTGCTGCTGCTGCTGCTGCTGCTGCTGCTGCTGCTACCATTGCCGGTGCTGCAGACGGCTGCATTGCTGCTGGTGCTTGTGGCTCGTCTCTTTCTAAGGGCGACTCGGGCTTGGCGTGCTGTGGTGCAAGGCATGGGGGAGAAAGAAGAGAGGGATATTAGAGGAGACATGGGAGCGGAGGTGAAAGGGAGATGGGACCTGAATGGGTGGAAGGGAGGAGGAAGAGAGGCAAGGAGAAAGGGACAGGGGGACGGTGAGAGGGAGAGAAGGTGCTGAGAGAGAAACGTGTGGGAGCGGGGGGAAAGGGGAAAAAGGGGATAAGGGAGGAAAGCGGCGGGAGCGAGGGAAGGGATGCAAGCAAGAACGGCAAGGCGAGAACGTGAACAGTCAGATTGGTGCGACTTTTGAGAATTCTCAAAAGGGAGCGAGCGACGGGATGCAAGCAAGATTGGCAAGGCGAGAACGTGAACAATCAGCACGAAACCCCACCTGTGCTGCCAGCTCTAACAGATCATCATCTGTGAAATCCACGTCAGCAGCATCCGCTGCCACGTCAGCAGCGCCATGGCCACGCTCACGACGCTCCCCATAAACATCCCCACCTCCCCTTTCCTCCTCTTCCTTCCCCTCCTCCTCCTCCTCACGGCTCGCGCTTACATGTCCCCTCCTGCTCCTGCCCTTCCCCACCTTGCGCCCCCTCTTGCCCCCCATTCCCACTCGTGTATCCTCCTCCCTCTCTTCATTCCCCCTCCTGCGGCCTCTTCCTTTTCCTCTCCCTCTCTCCTCTCCCCCTCTTCCCACCTCCTTCCCATCCCTCACCTCCCTTTCACCCCCCATGTTTCCTTCCGTCCCTTCTTCTGCCTCTCCCTTCTCCTCATCCCCCTCCACCTCCTCTTCACCCTCCCCCTCTTCCTCCTCCTCTTTCACCCCTTCCACCACCTCCTCCTCCTCCTCCTCCTCTTCCTTCTCACTAAAATCATCCCCCAACTTAAACCCCATCGTTCTCCTCCTCTCCCTCCTCACTCGCTTCACACTCCCTCCTCTTTTCCCTTCTCCTCTCTTCGTCCCAGCTTTCTTCTCCCCATCTAAACTCCCTTTTTCCTTCTTTCCCCGAACCTTCTTCTCACCCTTCCCCTTCTCCTCGTCCCCTTTCGCCCCCTTCTCCTCCCCCTCATCCCCCTTCCCCCCATCCTTTACCACCAGCATCCAAGCAGGTAATACTCTCCCTCTCTTCCTTGTTGCACCTGCTTCCCTCCCTCCACACCGCACTAAACCCATTCCTTTCCACAAACCCTCCTTACCTCTACTCCTATCATCCCCTTCCCCTGTCTTCCCTTCTCCCTTTCCTATCCCCCTATCACCCTCTCCACCTCCTGCTTTCCCAGCCTCCACTCTTCCCGATTCTAAGCCTACAGGCTTGGGAAGCCCGTTAGCAGGTTCGGATAAACGCTGCCCAGTAGCAACCGAGCCTGCTTGAGGCTCGGAAAACATACCCCTGGTTGAACCTGAGCCTGCAGTAACCACATGACTGGGAGGGCTAACAGGAGCACATGCTGGCGCGTCACGTCCAGGGGCTGACATGTCAGCAGCAGGAGCTGACGTGTCAGCAGCGTGAAGTGACATGGCGCCTGTGCTGGCTGGCACCCTTGCACTAGAAACGGGTGGCATGGAGGACAGCTGAGAGCGGGGAACGGGAAACAAGGGAAAGAGGGGAACGGGGAAAAGGGGGAAGAGTGGGGAACAGGGAACGAGGCAAATAGGGATGAGGGAAGAACGCCGAGTCATAGAGCCTTTCTGCGTCCAACAGGTCGCAACAGTCAGTTTGAAAATAGAAAGCAGGGAAACGGACTGCGGGGGAAGAACAAGCATTACTTTGAAAGCATGTCATGGCATGGAATGGCATGGCGCAGCGTGGCATAACATGGCACAACATGGAGGCGGTGTGGCAGTGAACAACAACAGATGCCTCGGACAGGCTGCAGTTCAACTATTCATGAACCCCTTGAGATGGTCTATCGCCCACCTGAGTTGCACGCTCGGGAAGCAGCACGAGGTGACTTTTGAGTCGACTCAAAAGTCACTGAGTTGCACGCTCGGGGAGCAGCGCTGCCACGTGCTTGCACACTCTATTTTCAAGGCACCTAAAAATTATACTGTCAATGAAATGCATTGACGCTCTTCTCGTCTCTCGCCCACCTGAGACACGCGCTCGAGGAAAAGCGCCACCACGTGCTTGTCCACTTTTGAGGCGCCTCAAAAGCCACCACGTGCTTGTCCACACTCTATTTTTGAGGCGCCCCAAGAATATACTATCAAGGAAATGCAATGCCGCCCTCCTCTCGCTCGCCCACTCCAGGAGAAGCGCCACCACGTGTTGCAGACCTTTCCTAGGAATGTGAGGCATCTCACATTATAAATACAAAGCCTCAGCGCCCTTCTCTCGCCCACCTGAGACGCGCGCTCGAGAAGCAGCGCCACCACGTGCTTGCACACTCCGTTGGCTGACCTGCCATGGAGTGGATGGATGGTAGGGGAACGAGATAACTTCGAATCGACTCGGAATTCTTGAAGCGCTGCCACATGCTTGCGCACTTTTTGGGTAAAAAATTGCTTATACACTGCATTGACCGACCTGCCGTGGCGTAGATGGTGGGGGGCGTGGGGAAGGGGAGAGAAAGCGAAGCATGGGAGAGGAAGGGGAGGGGGTGAAGGAGAGGTCTGAGGTGAGTAAGGGACGGACATGCAGGAGAAGGTACGAGATCATCTCATGCAGTGATGAGGCAGAGGGCAGAACGAGAGAGGGAGAAGAAACGTGCCCGTCTCACCTGGCGTGTGCTGGGCACGTGCATTTCCCTTCCACCTTCACATGTGGCACCCCTTCTCCTCCCCCTGTTGCTCGTCCACGTCCTCTCCCCCCTGCCCTTGCTCTGCTGCTCGCTGCTACTGCCCCTGCTCCTGCTGCTGCTCCTTCTGCTGCTCCTGCTGCTGTGCCTGTGAGTATATCGAAGCCGACGGTGTAGGCTTCGCCCGGATTCGATCCTGTGACAGCAAGGAACGGGGATTATAACGGGAGGAGCGTGTAACGCACATGTAGCGCACGGACAAAGAAGCTGCCACGTGGCAATCAACATATGCCGATCATGCAAAAAGAGCATGCGTTTCTGCAATACTTTACTAAGCTACCCTGAGTGACCTCGCCACCTAAGCTATCCGCAACAGTTGTTACTTACCTAAGCATTTCGCTTCACCCAGGTTCCACCCTTCCCCGCTAAACGACACGTCGGACAGTTTCCCGCCATCCCACACGTCAGCGGCGCGCCTCCCCACAGCGGGAGTCACGCTGGCGAGCACCTCGTCGCGACTCGCCAGGGCGGCGGGAATCGCGGGGGGAGCGGGACTGGTATCCATCGCGTCGGCGTCTTAGTCGCTTTAAGGAGAGGACTGATGGTTCGAAGACATTCAAGGCGCCTCAAAAACTCGCAGAGGGAATCGCTGGGGGAGTGGAAAAGGTGTCCATAACGTCAACGTTTTAGTCGCTTTACGGAGAGGACTGATGGTTCGACGAACGAACGAGGGATCGACGCACGGAGCGGAGCTGCGATTGACTGCCGCTGGCTCGAAGCACGCGGGCGGGACGTGCCTGGCCAGAGCAGCATGAGGACATAAGAAGCGAGACCCGAACTCCAAGGCGCGTCACGTAACACGTTCGAACGAAGAACGTGTCGGCCTAACACGCCGCCGCGTCGAAACTCGATGACGTCGCGCCTCAGTAATAATCGCAATGCTCCTAACAATCTCACCAATTATTTCAAGCACACTAGCTTCTAACCACCCAGTTGGGGAGCTGCAAATGTTAGCAGAAAACTTGTTTCGTGCAAAGCAAATGTTGTTTTGTACTCTTTTGTGAACGCTTTCGTACCGTATAGAAGTCCCTATTGGATACTCCCAGCTACAACACCTTGCCAACCAATTTCGTATTCTGCTTCTCGCAATCAATCGAGAACAAGCACATGTTACACCGTACGAGACCCAACCCAACCTAGAAGTTTCGACCGAATCAAGCCCGTCTTCTAGGTCCAACGAAATCGTAAAATGCCTGTTGTCCCGTTCCTGACCTGAAGTAATTTCCTGAAGCAACAGAGCGCAGCGCAGCGCAATTTCCTGAGTCAGGTATTTCCTGCAGTAGTGTAGTGTAGCCGTCCGATCGTCTCGTGTATGAACGCTCTCCGGCGTTCTCGCCGCTTCTCCGCGCCCTCCTTGCTCCAACATGCCGACCGCCATTTTCCGCTGACTCCATGGGATCCTCGCTTACCTCCTTTTCCTCGATTCCTAACACCGTCTAGTACCCCGCTCCTTTCGCCGTCGCTGCTTTTAGAGTCTACCCAACAACCATCTCCGTCGCTGCTCGAAATCTCGGGAGTGATGGCTTCGCGCTCACCTCTTGCCATGGCTGCTGCATCCTTATCCAATCCCTCGGGTTTCTCCGCGATTTCCTCCTCCTCCATGATCGTTCCATCTCCTCTCCCTCGTACCACGTCAGCACTGAGCAGCTTGCTGTTATCGAGGCGCAGTGATGCGCTTCCCGGTTTCCCGGAGCTGCTTTTGTCGCCTGGGACATGCGACAGTAGGATCATGGTATCTGCGACAGCAGGCTGTCGCATTAACAAAGGCTCTCTAATAGGACCTCAATCTGGACAATTATTCCATCAAATTCCCTCCCAGCCTTTCATTCTTCCGGTTCGTTCGTTACAATCACGTCACGAACACTCACAGCCTCGGCGTCTCTCACCTGCGGGTGCTTATAGCGATGGTAACCAACCAGGGTACCCCTATTCCTTCTCTCGCGTTCCTAGCGAAGCGTCATTTAGCGCGGACGGCTCGTGGCCGGATAACTTCAGAGTCTGGGAGAACGGCGGTGGATTGGTCCACGTGGAGGCGGTGGTTGACAGCTCAGCAGTGATCGAACCTTCCGCTGTGGTCCATTCCGAGGCTCGGATTGGCGCGAAAACGAGGATCGGATCAGGGTCGGTGGTGGGGCCGTACGTGAAAATAGGCGCGGAGACTGTCATATGGTGAGCTGATTCAGTTTTTATAATAACTATTTCCTAGTTTAATTGAGTTGAACGCTTGTCATGTCTTGCAGTCACTGCTTATATACTGATCATGAACTCCCATACCCCTTCGCTCCTTCTCCCTCCCCATCCTCCCTCTTCCCCCTTCCCCGCACTCCCCCTACCCCCCCCTTCTTCTCCACCCTCCCTTTTTCCCTTCATCCGCCATGCTATTATACTTGAATTTTCAGGACCCTCCTCCCCCGCCCTTACCACCCATTCTCCCCCCCGTCTTCCTCTTTCGCCTTTTTGTATTCTTCGGCTGTCCATTCTTTTCAAGGTACAACATGTCGCTGACTAATCGCAGGATTGGAGATCGATACGAATATATTTGACTAATCACGACCCCCTCCTTCTCCATCTTCCCCTTTTCCCCATTACCAATCCACCCTTTGCCAGGTACAACATATCGCTCACAAATTGCACGATTGGAGATCGCTGTGTTTATACTTGACTAATCAGTGATCACGACCCCCTCCTTCTCCATTTTCCCCTTTTCCCCATTACCAATCCACCCTATGCAAGGTACAACGTATCGCTCACGAATTGCACGGTCGGGGATCGCTGTGTTTTCCACAACGGCGTGCAGATCGGGCAGGATGGTGAGATTTCCGGGCATGTGGGGCAGGATGGTGAGATTTCCGGGCATGTGGGGCAGGATGGTGAGATTTCCGGGCATGTGGGGCAGGATGGTGAGATTTCCGGGCATGTGGGGCAGGATGGTGAGATTTCCGGCCATGTGGGGCAGGATGGTGAGATTTCCGGGTAGGCTGGGCAAGGAGGTAGGGCAGGATGGATAGTGAGATTTCCGGGCATGTAGGGCAAGAAGGTGAGATTCACCGAGGGAAGTATTTTTTTTTCACATAGAACATAATATGGAGGAATAGATAGGGCAGATGGAGAGGGACAGAGACAGTAATGGAGGGACAAATAGGCCCGGATGGCAGTAATGGAGGGACAAATAGGCCCGGATGGCAGTAATGGAGGGACAAATAGGCCCGGATGGCGATATTGATAGTCATGTTCTGTATTCCTGCACCTCCTCTTGTGCAGGGTTTGGTTTCTTTGTGGACGAATCCGGCATCATGGTAAAAAAGCCACAGGTGAGCTTCACTACACACACCCCTCTCCTAGGCTCCTCTCTCTCCTCCTGCATATCCTCCTCCCTTCGTGTTGTAGATGGTTTTGTAAAGTGCTTAGAAACTACCTTAGTGGGCGAATCCGGCAACATGATCAAAAGGCCGCAAGTGAGCTGCACGTCTCTCTCTCCCATCCCAGGCTCCTCTCTTCCTGCGAATCCTCCCCCCTTCGTCCTTGCTTCCCTCTGTCCCGTCCCTGATGTTTCACTGTGATTTTCTCGGAGCGCAAGGAGGACCGCGAAGAAACACCATCCTCTCTTTTTTCCTGTCTTTCTGTCCGTTTTTGTGTCTCGGGTTTTCTGCATGGCTGTGTGTGTTGATGGGTGTATGAGCGAGGGCAGACGCTGGGGGTGCAGATAGGCAGTGATGTGGAGATGGGAGCAAACACATGCGTGGACAGAGGCAGGTGAGTGTTGCTTTTAAGGTGGCTGACAGGGGGAGGTGAGTGTAGCTTATGACTCATAAGTTATGAGGTGCCTCAAAAGTCGATGGCAGACGCTGAGGGCGCAGATAGGCAGTGATGTGGAGATGGGGGCAAACACATGCGTGGACAGGGGCAGGTGAGCTAAACTCCCCCATCCGTTTGCTTTCTCTCTGCACAGCTTTCTCTCTCATTCTCTCAATGGTGTCGCATCTGCTCTTGCATGAGTACTCTGCTTCTCATACGCTCCTCACTGCATCTCTCCCTACCTCTTCTTAATCCGTTGCCTCTCTTCCAGCTGGAGGGACACACAGATTGGTGATTTCGTGAACAAGTGTTTGAGGCGTGTAAATAGTCGCCCCATTTCTTCTCATACGCTCCTCTCTGCGTTTCTCCCTACCTCTTAATTCGTTGCCTCTCTTCCAGCTGGAGGGACACACAGATTGGTGATTTCGTGAACAAGTGTTTGAGGCGTGTAAATAGTCGCCCCATTTCTTCTCATACGCTCCTCTCTGCGTTTCTCCCTACCTCTTAATTCGTTGCCTCTCTTCCAGCTGGAGGGACACACAGATTGGTGATTTCGTGAACAAGTGTTTGAGGCGTGTAAATAGTCGCCCCATTTCTTCTCATACGCTCCTCTCTGCGTTTCTCCCTACCTCTTAATCCGCTGCCTCTCTTCCAGCTGGAGGGACACACAGATTGGTGATTTCGTGAAGATTGATAACCTTGTGCAGGTCCGTGCATGTGCCCTCTTTGCACGACCCCTCTAGTGCTATTCCGGTGCCGTGACCATGTGTGTGAATGCCTTGCATCCGTTTCAGCCCATACTATACCACAACCCACTTGCACAGAGTTGAAAGGGTTACAACCCACCGGCATCACTTGCATATCCCCTGCTCTGACTAAACTCCTTTGGCTGAACCCAAGCAGATCGGTCACAATGTGGCCATCGGTCGTTCCTGCATCATCTATGGCAAAACCGGCATTGACTGACCGCATTGACCCCATTGACTGACCTCATTGACCCCAATGACTGACCTCATTGACCCCATTGACCCCATTGACTGACCTCATTGAGCCTATTGACCCCATTGACTGACCTCGTTGACCCCATTGACCCCATTGACTGACCCCATCGACCCCATAAATCGACTCCATGCAACCCAACCAGATTGGGCACAATGTGGTCATTGGTCGCTGCTGCATCATCTGCGGGCAAACCGGCATTGGCGGCTCGTCCACGTGAGTACAAACTGCAATTTTTAGGCGCCTCAAAAATAGGCTCGTCCACGTGAGTACAACAAACTGCACGAGCAGGTTGGCCTGGCGTGCATATTTTTTTTTCTTCCCAATTTGCCATTTTTTTCTTCTTCTATCCAAGTCAGTCATTGCGTTTTTTTTTTGTGCCACATCACATGCATTCTGCATACGTGGCATCAAATTCATGCATGTGTGCATGCATGGCATCAATCACGTCACTTGCGTGTGTGTGTGAATCACATGTGCATGCATGGCATTAATCACATGCGTGCATGCACGGCAGTCTGGGCGACTATGTGGTGCTGGCAGGGCAAGTGGGCGTGGCCGATCATGTCACCATAGCAGATAAGGTACTCCCTTTTCTCACCACCCCTCAGCACCCCTCACCACCACCCCTCACCACTCCTTGTTTCAAAATGCCACTGTAGTTTCATGAGTAATAACCAACCCATTACCACCTAGTTCAAGTACTTACCTGTAGTCAGCCATTTCGGTGTCCCTGCATGTCTCCCTGCATGTGTGTGCCATTGCGTGTGTATCATTAGCCCCCTGGCTGGCCCCATCAGGTGCGCGTGGCAGCCAAGTCAGGCGTGGCATCGAATATCAAGGAGCCAGGGGACAGACTTTGAGGGGGGGGGGGGGGGGGGGACTACCTGCGTTTGTCAATGCATGTGTGTATCCCTGTGCGCGCCGTTGCCCCTGGCCCCATCAGGTGCGGGTAGCAGCCAAGTCAGGAGTGGCATCGGATATCAAGGAGCCAGGGGACTATGCCGGCTTCCCCACGGTACTCCCACCCGCGCACCCAACCCCCCGTCCTTCCGTCTCTCCTGTCCTCCCCCACCCCTACCTTCCTCCTGTCCCTCCTAACCTTCCTCCGTTTCGTCCCTCTTTTCCCTGCCTCCCTGCCTGCCCGCCTCCCCGCCTCGTGCCCTCCCTGCCTGCACCATTTTCCTTCAATCCTTGTGCACAATTCAAAGGACGCCTTCACAGCAGCCCTCCCAGACTCAGCTGTCTCCTTTACACCCCCAAACCCGCCCTCATTCCCCCTCTGATGCAATAGTTCCCTGCATACCTCCTAGCCCGCCGCATGCGCTGTCTGGCAGCCTAGCGGCAACTCAAACAAAATCACCCCGTGTTCACGTCCTGCATATCTTTACACAAAAGTGATCATGAGACGTTGAATGGTTACTAGTAATTGCCAATTCTCGGCTCATTGATTTGCTTCTTTCTGTGGTGTTGGCACAGGTGAAAGCGAGCGAGTGGCGGCGATTGGTGGTGATGGAAAGGAGAATGATGAAGGGAACGGCCCCTGCTGCAGATAGATCCGCGCCATCTTCTAATCCAACGGTGAAGAAGGCTTGAGAGACCGGGTGCAAGGGGCTTTTATATTTTTACATTGGATACCAAATAGGCAGATGTTGTTCACGTGCTAGTTTAATATCCATGAACTGTAGCTACTAATTTTACATTTTACAAGCGGCGTGGACTCTCCACTAGGGCGTACACGATTTTGGCTTTATAGATCAAACGTTTCGCTAATGTCTAAGTTGACTTCGCGGTAATTTTTTTACCGCGAAGGCGAACTCTTTTCTGCTTCGCGAAAACTATTTTGCTGATGGAACTATAAACATTCGTGGACACTGCTACATCGTCAATCCCACAATCGGCTTGAGCGATTCGTTCCATCTTTATCGCAAGACGGCATTCGTCCAAGCCAGAACGTCGCAGAACGCGCTAGGCTTTCCGTACTTCGTAGTCTTAGATGGTCCGTGATGATCCTCGTATCCGCGTGTATCACATCGCGTATTGAGCGAAGCACAGTGACGCAGCGCAGAAGCCCGTTTTAGGCGCCGAATCCCTTTTGCTTATAACAATATTAGGCGGGTGCCACAACGAGTGTCCCCGTTTACCTGAGCGCAGTAGTCACGTGTACCGGAGCGCAGAAGGCACCGTAAGGGCGGTACCGCGATTATCGCAGCGCCATGGGTCTGGACGGCGGAACTATCATTTCACGCACCGACGTTATCCGAGGAGCGTCGTGGCGCCTCGCCTCCAGGTCGCTACCGTTACCGTTATCGTCTCCGTGACCGTTACCAGTACTGTTACCGTCACCGTTACCTTCACTGTTACCGTTACCATGGCCGTTACCGTTACCGTTACCGTTACCGTTACCGTTACCGTTACCGTTACCGTTGCTGATACCGTTTACGTTCACATCCTGTTTACCTGCCGACAGGCTATACCTTGTGCACCGTCCCTCCCCAAAATCTACTCCCCGTTTCCAAATTCACTTTTGAGAGTTCTCCAAAGTTTCAAAATCCTCCCTCTGGCTCTTCCGACTTCCGCGCTCCTCCTCGTTCGCACCGCGCTTCTCCCCCCCCCTCCCCTCATCCTTCCCTCTGACTTGCGCTACTCCGCCGCCCTGCACTCCTCCTCCCCCGCAATCTCTCCGCGTGTCTGCTAGCAGGGACTCCGCGCGGTCGACGCGCGGGGGGCAGCTCTCCGCGGGGGACCTGCTGGGCGGAGAGGAGCGCGTGGGCGCGCGGGAGCAGCGCAACGCCGCGTGGAGCGCGTGCGCGCTGACGGGGGAGGCGCTGAGAGAGCCAATCGTGGTGTGCCAGCTCGGACGACTGTGAGGGGGAAGGAGGGGAAGGGACGAATAGGGGGAAGGTGGGGAGGGGTGACAGAGGGGGAGGGAAGGGGGGGGGGGGGGGAGGGGGGAAGGGCAGGAAGGGGGAAATGGGGGAATAAAAGGCAGTGGCGTGGAAGGGAGGGGGAGGTGGGGGGGGGGGGGGGGGGAGGGGGAGGGGGTACGAGAGGGAGGGGGGGAATGGGAGAGGGGAATTATATGGGAAAAGAGAGTGTGGGAGGGCGGGTGAAAGTTCGGCCGTCCTGTTTCTCTCCTTGTCCCCCCCCTCCCCCCACCTCACCCCCCCAGCTACAACCGTGAGAGCGTGCTACAGATGGTTCATGTACCTCCCCCCTGTTTCCCCCCAATCCGCCCTTGATTCAGCTACAACCGGGAGAGCGTGCTACAGCTGCTGCTGTGGCGAGCGGGCGTTGTGGCAGAAGAGAGTCACAAGGTGAGACACACACAGCTCACCCTGCTCTGCAGTGCGGTGCTCCCCTACTCGCTACAACCGGGAGAGCGTGCTACAGCTGCTGCTGTGGCGAGCGGGGGTTGTAGCAGAGGAGAGTCACAAGGTGAGACACAGATCACCCTGCTCTGCTGTGCGGTGCAGTGTGGTGCAGTGCTGTGCTGTCCGTCATTGTGCCCAACCATTTCGGTCCGTCTCCTCTCCCCTTCCCTTTCCCGCACGCACTTGTGCGGTGCAGTGTGGTACAGTGGTGTGTGTCTCAATCAAGTGTGTTCTTTCATTCCCTCTCTCGCATCCCTTCCCTCCCTCCATTCCCCCTCCATCCATCCCCCCTTCTCTATCTCCCCTCTTCAACCCCTTCTCTGTCCCCTCCTCCTTCTCCACCCCCCCCCCCCCCCCCCCCCCCCCCCCCGCCCCCCCTCTCCACCCCCCCCTTCCTTCTCCATCACCCTTATGCCCCTTATTTGCCCCCCTCTCCACCCCCCCCTTCTCTCTGGATCCCCCTTTTGCCCATATCTATGTGCCATGCCCCAATCCTCCCCAGTGGCGGTTCACCAGGCTGCAGGACCATCTGCACCGCTTTGCACACATCCGATCCACCAAGGTGAGAGCAGGGGAGCAGGGGAGTGAGCGAGCGGGGGAGCAAGGGACCCTTGCAATGCGAGTGTGGAGATTTTTCATGGGATGGCAGGCAACATAAGTAATGGGACGTCACAAGTTAAAACACTTTTGAAATTTCCCAAAAGGGACGTTTTAAGGGGAATATATGCTTTTTACCTTCTTGAACTGAATCGAACCTTGGGCTACCTAGAATGTGGCGCCCACTTTTGAGCGGGCTGTGAACCCTAGAATATTTGAAGCATTTTTTTGCTTCCCACCCTCCGCTCCTATCTCCCTCTTCCCCCTGCTCGCCCTCGCAGTGAATCTCCATTCTGTATCTCTCCTCCCTCTCCTCCCTCTCCTCCCTCTCCTCCCTCTCCTCCCTCTCCCCCCTCTCCTCCCTCCCCTCGCCATTCCCCACAGGACACTGGCACAGTGCACCTCCCCACAGTCGACCATCCACCTTTTTCTCCTCCGAATGAAGCTCCAATCTGCTTCTCCCGCCCCCCTCTCCCCCACGCCACTCCCCCCTCTCCTCCCTCCCCTCGCCATTCCCCTCAGGACACTGGCACAGTGCACCTCCCCTCTGCCGACCATCCAGCCCACAGCAGTGTGTCGTGTGCCATTGTACCGAGCTGACCTTTGACTCGATTCAAAAGTCCCCCCCTCCCCTCGCCACCCCCCACAGGACATTGCCACAGTGCGCTTCCCCTCAGTCACTTTTGAGAATTCTCAAAAGCACTCCTCCCTCTCCGCTCCCTCCTCCTTCGCCTCGCCCCTCCCCCCTCCCCTCACCACCACCCCACAGGACATTGCCACAGTGCACTTCCCCTCAGTCGACCATCCAGCCAACACCAGCCGGGGTGACAGTGGCGGGGGTAACAGCGGTGAGGGAGAGAATGGAACCAACGAGGATAGCAGCAGGTGTGGCGCCGGTACTAGCGCTGCTGGTGTTGCTGCTGCTGGTACTAGCTCTGCTGACACGCTGGCTGCATCTGCGGCTGCCCGTAGCAGTAGCAGAAGCGGTGGCAGCAGCACAACGAGAGGCAGCAGCAGCAGCAGCAGCAGCAGGGACGCCTCGCACTGGGTTTGCGCACTTTCAGGCGCCTCTGCCAGCACTGGCCAGCCGTGAGTGGGGTACACGGGGCAGCAGGGCACACGGGGCAGCAGGGCACACGGGGCAGCAGGGCGCACAGGGCAGCAGGGCACACGGGGCAGCAGGGCACACGGGGCAGCAGGGCACACGGGGCAGCAGGGCACACGGGGCAGCAGGGCACACGGGGCAGCAGGGCACACGGGGCAGCAGGGCGCACGGGGCAGCAGGGCACACGGGGCAGCAGGGCACACGGGGCAGCAGGGCACACGGGGCAGCAGGGCGCACGGGGCAGCAGGGCACACGGGGCAGCAGGGCACACGGGGCAGCAGGGCACACGGGGCTGTTACTGCATATTTCTTGCCATTGTTTTGATGCCGGTGCCAGTGAGAATGCCTTAGCGCCACCTTTCTTATCCCCCTCCCGTCCCAATTCCTTCCCGTCCTTCTTCCCTCCCATCTCCCGCCCCTCCCATCTCACGTCCCTCCCATCTCACGTCCCTCCCATCCCTCGTCCCTCCCATCTCCCGTCCCTCCCATCCCTCGTCCCTCCCATCTCCCGTCCCTCCCATCTCCCGTCCCTCCCATCCCTCGTCCCTCCCATCTCCCGTCCCTCCCATCCCTCGTCCCTCCCATCTCCCGTCCCTCCCATCCCTCGTCCCTCCCATCCCTCGTCCCTCCCATCCCTCGTCCCTCCCATTCCCCCTCCTCTGCACAGCTTCTCTTTCCTCCGCCCCTGTGGACATGCATTCAGTACACGAGCACTGGCTCAGGTGAGGCTCCATTGCCACGTGTCACGAGCACTGGCTCAGGTGAGGCTCCATTGCCACGTGTCACGAGCACTGGCTCAGGTGAGGCTCCATTGCCACGTGTCACGAGCACTGGCTCAGGTGGGGTGTCATTGCTACGTGTCACGAGCACTGGCTCAGGTGAGGTTCCATTGCCACGTGTCACGAGCACTGGCTCAGGTGAGGTTCCATTGCCACGTGTCACGAGCACTGGCTCAGGTGAGGCTCCATTGCCACGTGTCACGAGCACTGGCTCAGGTGAGGCTCCATTGCCACGTGTCACGAGCACTGGCTCAGGTGAGGCTCCATTGCCACGTGTCACGAGCACTGGCTCAGGTGGGGTGTCATTGCTACGTGTCACGAGCACTGGCTCAGGTGAGGTTCCATTGCCACGTGTCACGAGCACTGGCTCAGGTGGGGTGTCATTGCTACGTGTCACGAGCACTGGTTCAATTGGGGTGTCATTGCCACGTGTCACGAGCTCTGGCTCAGGTGGGGTGTCATTGCCATGTGTTCCTAGCTTGCCAGCACAGGTGGTGAGCACGCACATAGGTGATTGTTCAGGTAATTTCTCAGGTGATTTATAAGGTAATGGCTAAGTTGATTTCACAGGTGAGCTTTGATGTGATTGCTCAGGTCATTACACTGAACTCTTCTGTGTGAAAATCAGATGCCGCTGTCACACGGGATTCCTTTCTCCCTTTCTTGTTCTCTCCCTCTTTCGTTCGCCCTTTCTCGTTCGTTCTCTTCCTGACTCCCCCGTCAGTTGAAGGAGAGACAGTGCCCTGTCTGTGGAAAGGCATACAATGGAAGCTCTGATGTCACTCCCATCAACCCCACACCTGACCAGGTAAGTAGTAGATTTGCAAAGTTGGTACATAAGGCAGATACACCTGTATATGCTAAACCTGAACAGGCGACACTGTAATGGCCCAGAAGTAGTTGTACTTGTAATGTGGCCCTCGATATTGTCTTATTAAGTCGTCACGATTCGTCTTGTGTGCCGGATTGGTTTGTCGTACACCCCATGTTTATAAAATGCTCCGTCTGTAAACTTCGTCTTTTGTGCACGGCCAATTCAGGTGGAGCACTTACAGCAACAACTGAGAGTGAAGGGTCGTGCCAAGAGAAAGGGAATGGCAGCATTTGTTCAAAGTTCTCAATCTGATGCCGATTCTCTATCCGTAAGTTCCACTGTTGCTCTTTGTTTTATCGAACTTCTTAAAATCAGCACTTTGTTCCTTAGTCTGTTAAATTGAAAGCCAATCTTGCTTGTGGCCCCAACTGTTACCCCCTTTTCCTCTTTTTTTTCTGGCTGAAGAACAAGCGGTGCTGCAAGAACAACTGAAGTGCATCTTCAAATTTCAAGAACCCCCCTTTGTGTATACCGCCAAGCTATAGACCATGGCTTACCTACAGATGGCTAAGCATGGTTTCTGTATGTGTGAACAGACCATTCTTTGTATTTCAGAGTTTTCACATTTTTGCTTAGTCTAGGTTGCTCTCTAGTAGAGTGGTTTTGTTGCTTCACCGCTTTTAACCTCAACTCACCGCTTTGAACAGTGATACATTAACTGAAAGCGTACAAGCTACCCCGCAGGCCTAGTTCGTTTTAGTTGAAGTATCACTGTTCAGAGTGTTGGGTAGCGGTTCAAAGCGGTCAAGCTAGCAAACCGCTCTACCACCGTGTACACTGAACCGAAATTGAACGAAGCCTCGCCCTCCGTCTCCACCCCGACTTTGGCAAAACTGATCCAGGGACCAGGAGGATATGATTCCTAGTTGCAGAGATTGGTAAAATTTCTAGACTACTCTTGAGCGTTTCTGTCTTTGATTGGGGTACCGTTGGGTTCCTTTTTGTTTTGCATCGCGACGGGTTTCAATAGAGGCCCACCCGCTACCCTCCAAACACACCCTCCTCCACCCGTGTTTCCTACCCTAGGAGTCGGCAAAAATCGCTTCTCTTTGTGCGAGATCGGCTCTCGTTGTCGGCAATCAATCCGGGTGTATCGCACCGCCGCTTGCTTGAATTGCCCTGTGCTCTTATCATAAATCATGTTTTCTAAACGTTGCTTGATTGCTTGATTCATCTCGTGTGCATTGGTTCTTCTGTTGGCTCTCTTCCAACCTCCAATCGTGTGTACACGCACAAACAGACCATGGGGATCCAAGGGTTTTGTGTTTGCCTGTTTCCAGGAGCTTTCCATTCGTGAAAGTGACGTTAGCTAGCTCACAGCTGGAAGGGAACGTTGCCGGACGGGACGGATTATCCCAACGTGTCCCTTGCGGCGATTCGAATCAAGGAAAGCCTACCGATCTCGTCCATAATCACACCTAGCAGCTTGTTGAGTCGCGAGTCGTGACGGTGATCCCTGTGCCCCTCCTTGTCCGTTCGTTCTTCTTAGGAACAGCTGAGCTGTTCGCCACCAGCCTCCGTATCTCTTTCGGGTACGCTCACGTCACTCGTTACGCGCATGCTCCTCGCTGCAGTGAAATGTAGTGAACGATAAGTGAGAGTGATCAGGCTGGTGGTGTGCCTGTAGTACTAAGGAACGAGTCCAAATACGGTTGCACCCCGCCCTAACATCGAGTCCGAACTGACCGTCGAGAAATGTCGTTCGTCGGATTCCATTCGGAACATCTTCAGTTTACCCTGAATGTGTGTAAGGGCAAGGACATGCTTTTTTTCTCCGTCTCCGTCTGTTTCCGAACGGGGACGGACAACTTTCTCCCATTTCGTACACCCTCTTTCTCGCTACACTGACCCGCGCGTAACTGGCTAGCAGATCGTGTCGCATTCGAATTGCCTAAATAAACCCTACTGAAATACAACTTAACCGCGCTAAACCGTGCTTTTTCACTCCTGACGTCAGTATAGCGGCCGTCAGTCTAGCCAGAAAGAGGGTGTACTGTCTACGGATACGGTGGTGTGCGTTCTGGCGTTTTTTTCTCCTCCGTCTTTGTCTCTTTGGGATGTCTTCCGCGTTTCGCACTCAAACGGTGGTACGTTATGGCGTATCCTCAACGTATGCACAGCACATGTCTGTCGTGGGTCGGCAACAGTCATGGATTAAGTCAGCACTTGGGCTGGAGTGGTCACGCCAGCAGGGCTAGCATCATCACGGTGATATTGCTATCATCACTCCATCACGGAACCATTCATGCGGCGTGAATGATGCCTTTAATTCCGCCGCCTGTACGCAGAAAAAAAAGATTCTGAGAATCGCCGACAGCATTCCGAATATTCATGACGGCTTTCAGCAGCTTGATTGGGTAAAGTGGCACCCAGCTTTGACGGCTAGCAGGCCCATGGGCCTGTGTGCCACAGTTTCCGTTCAGACGTTCACAAAATTGTCATTTACTGTGGCTCACAGACACTAGCACTAATAGTTTATCTCCATTCTTACACTTCCTTCCGGAGAGTGATTTCTGCTCTCTTCGTTCTACTACTCCTAGTAGGAGGCTTTTGAAATATTAGACTCCGGCCCGGACAGAGTGGTCTCGTGCTCTTTCAGTGCGTGTTAACTCTGTGTGACTTTCCACGGCATTATGGATTGCTTGGACGCGCCTCAAACGGGGGAGCCGTCTTTCGACGCGCCGCCTCAAGTGACGGCGGGAGAACCGTCATGCTTAGATGCGCTTCTAACGGGCGAACTTCCAACCGTTGAGGTTGATTTTGAGAATTCTCAAAATCAACCGTTCCAAACCGGGGAACTTCAAACCGTGCCGGCGGATTGGAGCAGCATCAGCAGGGAGGAGCTCCGCCTGATCCAAGAAGCGCTGCAGCGCGCCGAGCAGCCCGGACTGGGAAATTCCGAGGCAGCTTCAATCGCGGAGAAGCAAGGGCTGCGTGAGTTCGACCCAGCTTCAAGCGCGGAGAAGCAAGGGCTGCGTGAGTTCGACCCAGCTTCAAGCGCGGAGAAGCAAGGGCTGCGTGAGTTCGACCCAGCTTCAAGCGCGGAGCGCGCAGGGATGGTGCTAATGCCATTAGTGGAGGGTGAGGGAGAGAGTCCGGATGGAGTAATAGCACCCGCAGCAGGGCTTTTGAGGCAGGATCATGGAAGTGGGGCTCTGGGGGATTTATCCCCTCCCATACCCCTGCTGACTCAGACTCGGAATGACGAGACTCATCGTTCCCTTCCCGTGCTTCCTGCGCCGCTGCTGACTCAGCATCTGCCGCCCAATCAGCAGGTGCCAACTCAGCCGACTTCACAGCTCGGCACCTCTCCTCCTCCATCTGCGTGTCTCTCCTTCCCCTCGCCATCCGTTCCCGTCGTCCTCAACCGCTCATCAACCTTAGGAGCCCTCAGATTTCCGAGTTTGGTACCAACTTTTGGCACAAAGCGAAGGCTTTTAACCTCTCAGATCCATGAACTCTCTGAAATGGGCGTTGTTCAGACACGGAAGAGGTTATGTGGTAACCCTGCTGCTGCTGATAATGGTCTCCCTCTTTCTGCAGCCGCTGCTATTGCGACTGCTGCTGCTGTTGAACCACGCGCTGCTGCTGCTGCTGCTGCTGCTGCTGCTGCTGCTGCTGCTGCTGTTTTCTCTAGCAGCAGCAGCCACGTTTTCACCGAGAAAATACCGGGTTGTATCGCCAAGGTCGATACGCCCTGGAGCACAGCAGTAGCCCTTCCTGCTATGGCCGCTCCCGCCCCTGCAACAAGCGTGGCAAGAATCACTCCTGCTTCAGAGCCTTCCTGCTTGACTGCTGCTGACACTGCTGCTGCGCCTGCTGCTGCAATCACTTTCTCAAGCTACTCTGGCATGTGCCGCACACGTCCAGGCATGAGCCCCACACACTCTGACCTGGGCTCCACACAGTCTGACGTGTGTCCCACACGTGCTGGCGTGCGCCTGCCACAGCACCCATTGGACCGGCTTGCTGCTGCTTTCGCACAGCCTCTGCCGCTTCCTTTTGAAATGGCGCGTGGGGTGGGACTTGACGACGGGTGCGTGGATGCTTTTCCCCCTGCTGCTACTGCTGCTATTGATGGTGGTGCTGCTACTGGTGGTTCTAACACTGGTGGTTCTGCTGCTGCCACTCGTGGTGCCGCAGCTTTTTATTTGCCTTTGCCGCATCCCTTTGAGATGGCGCATGGGGTGGAGCTTGACGGTTGTGTGGAAATTTTTCCCCCCGCTGCTGCTGCTATTGGTGCTGCTGATGCTCCAGCTGTTGTTGTGACTGCTGCTCCAGTCATGCCAGACTCGTTCTTTGCACACCAGCGGAGGCAGGCAGTTATTAGCTGCCTGATGAGGCGACTCCAAGCACAAACACCTGGCAGCACCGCACTCCACCGATCCATTTCGCCAGGGCTGCGTTTTGAACCGTCTCGAGGGCTGTCTCTAGTGCAGCCAACAGTGCAACCAGGATCCTCCCAGGCATACGCACACGAAGCCTTCACTCCAAACTCCTCTGTACCGCAGACACATGCACAGCACCCCTTCATTCCAGACTCGCCGCAAATGCAGGCAGCAGCGGTGCATGGGTCTGCAGCCGCGCGAGAGTCACCCCGAGGAGGAAACATGGGCTTTAAGTCGCCCTATGCAATCCCGTCTCCATTGTCCCAATCCCCGAGGGGAGGGTTAGGTCGAGCAGGGGCTGTTGCAGCGGCAGCAGGGGCGAGGCAGATCACGGGGAAGAGTGCTACAGAGAAACATCGGCGGTCCAAAATAACGTGAGTTGGGTGGTGGTCTTGTTCGGTGTGTCTACAACAAAGGGGTGCATTGCTTACATACTGGCTGTCGGATTTAGTGTTATGTGGACTGCACTGACTGCACTGCACTCTACCCAGTCTCATCCATCCTGTGCTTCCTTCCCTTCCTTCCCTTCCTTCCCTCCTGCTTCTTCTTCCCATGTGTGCCTTACAGTGACCGATTAGAAGCTCTCAAGGCAGTGATACCAGCGGAGGTGCTGCTGAGGCAGCAGGGCCAGGCGGGGTTCAGCAATCGCACGCAGATAGCCACTCTCCTGGATGTGTCAGAATCTAGCAGCAGGGATGAACTATGAAAGAGTTGGGTACAAGTATGAAACCCTAAAAGGGGTTGTACCCCATATTGGCTACCCCACTACAGCCTACACATATGTAACATGCATATACTTTGACACACCCCCATAGGCAAAGTGGGGGAGAGCAAGGGGTCACAAGACCAGTCAAGCGAAGCAAAGCAAGCTCAGGGTGGATCACAACGTCACCACACACACTGAGCACAAGCAAAGGGCCACAAGGCCAGTTCACATGCAGAGGTATATATGCAAAAACAACAGCACAGTGATCTCTACCTAGCAGAGCAAGCATGCAGGTATATATATAGATCACAGTACAAGCAAAGTCTACAGCAAGTGAGAAAACGTGGGCACAAGGCCTAACAGAGTGCAGAAACGCTGATGATCACCAGACGGAAGCGCCTTGGTGAATATATCAGCAGTGTTGGCCCGAGTGGCCACGTAAGCAAGACAAAGCTGACCACGCTGCTGCAACTCTCGAGCCAGGAAGTAACGCAGAGCGATGTGCTTCGTTCTGTGCTCCAGTCTGTGCTCCTGACACAAGGCAATGGTGGCCTTGTTGTCGACGTACAGCACTGGAGGAGAACGAGGCCGCTCTCCCAAGTCGGTCAGCATGTAGGTGAGCCAGCGTAACTCCTGTGCAGCCATGGCTGTGGCGTAGATCTCAGCCTCACAACTGGAGCTGAGAACTGAAGACGAGCGTGTAGAACGCCAAGAAACCGAACCAGAGCCAAGGCTGAAGGTGTAACCCTGTGACGACCGCTGCGTAGCCTGGTCGTCAACCCAAGAAGCGTCCGAGTGCCCAGTGAGGACAACGTCGCCCCGTCCTCCAAGCACGAGCCCCATGCCCGATGTACTGCACAAGTAGCACAGTACCCTCTTAGCAGCATCCATGTGCACCTTTCGGTGCCGACCAGGAGCCACGTAGCGAGCCAGAAGGCCAAGAGGGTACGCAAGGTCAGGACGAGTGCAGGTCATCAGGTACATGAGGCAGCCCACTAGCTCTGGGTAAGGACCACTCGGCTTTACGGACTCGTCCGAAGGTGGAGCTGAGAGCGAGTGACCTGTAGCCAGAGGAGTGGCCTGTGCCGAGGACCAGGTGAAGCCAAAGCGCTGAAGGACCAACTGCACCATGTGTGACTGAGTCAGTGTGATGGTTCGGCGTGCTCTGTCCCGGGTGATCTGCAAGCCAAGGTAACTGCGCAGCTCACCCAGGTCTGTGCACGTGTGTCTCTTCTACAGCTCCGACTTCACCAGGGCGAGAGCCTCAGTGTCAGCAGTGGCAAAGACCAAGTCGTCAACGTACACGAGGATGTAGAACGGCGGCAGCGAAGTGTCGGTGCGCAGAAACAGCGACGGGTCAGCAGTCGACGGAGCAAACCCAAGAGCCGCAAGTGTCGTCCTCAGTGTGTCGTACCACTCACGTGGCACCTGGCGGAGACCGTAGACCGGCCGCCGGAGACTCCACTGGGTACCAGGAGGGAACGACCCAGTGAAGCCAGGTGAGCGGCGCAGCCAAATCTCCTCGTGCAGGCTGCCCTGTAAGAAGGCTGTGCTAAAGTCAAGAGAGTGAAGTCACGCTGAGCGGCAACGTGCAGCAGCACCCGAAGAGTTGTCATCTTCGGGGTGGGGGAGAAGGTCTGGAAGAAGTCTACTCCCTCTCGCTGACTGAAACCTCGTGCAACGTAACGCGCCTTGAAGACAGGCGGAGAACCCGGCGACCGCTTCACCCTGAAAATCCACATGCCACTGACGATGTTCGCCCCAGGTGGGGGAACCTCGTCGATGTAAGTGCTTGTGGACTTCCAAGATGCCATCTCTGCGTCCATGGCTGTCTGCCACTGAGAGGAGTACTCACCCGCTATCGCCTCAGCGTAAGAGCGCGGGGTCGGGATGTCTGGAGCATCCGGGTCTCCCTCAGGGGCAAGCAGCATGGACACGAGATGAGGCGCAGCGGCTGCAAGACACTCAAGGTCCTCCTGCCTGTCCTCAAGGCCGTCCGTGCCAAGAGCACACTCACCCCCGATGGATGGAGGACAGACAAACTCAGACTCAGCAACAAGACTAGCGGCGTAGTCTAGACGACAGGCAGCAGCAAAGTCAACAAGCTCAGCGACTAAGGCAGACGCAGCAGCAGACTCAAACGACGGGTCAGTGACAACAGTGGCTAGCAGACGCGTGACAGTAGGGTGCTCAGCACGAAACCGGTCAGACTCAGGGTCCGCAACAACAGGCAGAGAAGACGCAGGAGGAGACGGCAGAGGAACACGCTGCGAAGGAATGGAAGGACGACGAACTACAAGGTCCGGCTGACGCGGACGAGGAACACGACGACCGGACCAACCAGAACGGACAGGCGAGACAGGACGCGACGCAGGCTCACGACGCTCAGTAAGACCCCCTGTCTGCTCAGTGTAAGGAGAAGGAGCAGGCAGCGGTGAGCCAGGCTGTAACGGAAGACCAGTAGACGAAGGGAGACTAAGAACCTGGCGAAGCACAGAGTCAGGCGGTGGCTGAGACGACGGAGACGGTGGAGCAAAGAACAGGCGCGGCTGTGCAGTGACACGTGCACCCGCAGCTCCAGTACCCCCAGCAGCTCCAGCACCTCCAGCAGCTCCAGAACCCTCAGCGCCAGCTCCTCCAGGACCAGCTCCACCAACAGCAGCACCCCCAGAACCGGCACCTCTAGTCCCAGGGTCTCCAGCCTCCGTGTCTCCAGCAGCACACCCCCAGACCCAGTGTCTCCAGCAGTAGCACCCTCAGGCTTAGCACCTCCAGCCCCAGCAGCTCCAGTACCTCCAGTACGAGCACCTCCGGGACCAGCACCACTCCCAGCTCCAGTGACGTCAGCAGAAGTACCTCCAGCGGCAGAGCCCCGAGCTCCAGAAGCGCGACCCTGGCGGCGACCGTACCAGTCGTGCAGCTGCTGTGAGGTGAGAGACACACGCGGACGAAGGCGGCTACTCCAAGGAGACCGCGTAACAGCAGACTCAGAACCCTCAGCGCCAGCACCCGCAGCAGCTCCAGAACCTCTAGTGCCAGCACCCTCAGCAGCTCCAGAACCTCCAGCTCCAGCGCCACCAGCGCCAGCACCTCCAGCAGCTCCAGAACCTCCAGCTCCAGCACCCTCAGTAGCTCCAGAACCTCCAGCTCCAGCGCCACCAGCGCCAGCACCTCCAGCTCCAGCGTCACCAGCACCAGCACCTCCAGCAGCTCCAGAACCTCCAGCTCCAGCAGCCTCAGCAGCTCCAGAACCTCCAGCAGAAACAACTCCAGTAGCAGAGTCACCAGCTCCAGCGCCTCCCGCAGCAGGGCCCCTAGCTCCAGCAGCGCGACCCTGACGGTCAACGTACCACTCAAGCAGCTGCTGTGGGGAGAGAGGGAGTCGATGACGAGAGTGCAGCGGCGAGGCACCAGCGGAGCGACTACGGAGACGGCCGCTCCAGGGAGACTGCTCACCAGACGCCTCAGCGCCCCCAGGTGCAGCACCCCCAGACTCAGTACCCCCAGGCTCAGCACCCCCAGACTCCTCACGCCCAGGCTCAGCACCTCCAGTCTCCGCACCCCCAGGCTCCGCACCCCCAGGCTCCGCACCTCCAGGCTCCGCACCCCCAGGCTCAGCACCCCAAGGCTCCGCACCCCCAGGCTCAGCACCCCCAGCAGCAGCACCCCGAGCAGGACCACCCTCAGCAGGACCTGAGTCAACACTGACCTCAACCGGCTCAGTCAAGGGAGGAGGGTCTACCTGAGACACACCTGAAGGAGCAGGACCGGGAGCGGGGAGGGGGTCTACCTGGGGAGCACCTGGAGCGAGGAAGAGCGGCGGGAGGGGGAGAGGGGCAGTGCGGTAGGGGAAGAGACGGTAAAAGGGAACCGACTCGTCGAACGTGACGTCCTGAGAGGGGAAGACACGGCGCGAGGTGGGGTGGTAAAACTGCCAACCAGACGCGTCAGGGACAAAGCCAAGGAAGACACAGGGAACAGCGCGGGCGGAGAGCTTGTCCGCGGTGGTATCGCGGACAAAGGCACGAGCACCCTAGACCCGGAAACGCGACGCATCGCCAACCTTCCCCGTCCACAGCAGTGCGGGCGAGGTCTCCGGCAAGGAGACACGGGGCCAGAGGTTGAGCTGATGCGCGGCGTACCGGACCGCAAACGGCCACAGAAAATGGGGGGCAGCCGCATGGATCATGGAGGTACGAGCGACCTCCATGACTAAGCCAATGCGGCGCTCAGCAACCCCATTCTGCTGCGGAGAGGCCGGAAGCGTGAACGTCTGGCGGATGCCGTGCTCCGCACAAAAGGCTGCCAAAAGGTCTGAGGAGAACTCACCACCCCTGTCAGAGTGCAGACGCAGGACAGGAAAGTCCGACTGGAACCGCTCGCGGAGCTGGAGACGAACAGCGCGGATCCAGGGGATCAAAACATCAGGGACCTCCCCCTTGCTGCGCAAGGGGAAGACCGTGGTGTAACGCGTGTAGTCGTCGACGACCAGCAGGAAGTACCGCTCGTGGCCCTGTCCACGGACGCGGGCTGGGCCCCACACGTCTAGGTGGAGAGTCTGCAAGGGAGCCTCTGTGGGAGGGAACGAGGAGGAGTGAGGAGCGGCGCGCTGCCGCCCCTCGACACAGGGAAGACAGGGAGGAGCAGGCGAGGGTGGTAGAGGAGGCAGAGTCTCTGGAAGTCCAGAGACAAGGAAACGGCGGTGCATGCTACGAAGGCGCTGCACCGAGGGGTGACCAAGGCGGTGGTGCCAAAGGAGGGTCTGGTGCGACAAAGCGCGACACGAGCAGGGGGCCGCTAGCTGACCTGACGCAAACGCAGACGCAGACGCAACTACCTAAGGGGACACAGTGGTCAGTGTGTACAGACTCGAGCCAGGCGCTCGGGTGAACGTGACCAGGTGCCGACCAGTCCGGGAGCACGTACAGTGGGTCACACGCTGACCTCCAGGGGTGAACTGGTCAACCCACACATCCTGTAGGTCAGCTCCACTCACCAAG